CCAGGGCTGAGCTGGGTGGGCAGGAGGAGCCGCCCTGCTGTGGCCACGAACCTGGTGGCAGAGCGGAGGCGAGACCCCAGCTTTGGGGTGCGACCCCAGTTTTGGGGTGCGACCAGCCCAGGGTGCTACGGTGATGGATTCGGGGCTCGTCCCCATCCCGCAGAGTCGCCCCGGACTTGTCGGGATGCTCCTGTCTGCACCCAACTCCGCATCCATGGACCCTGTTGGCACCGTTGTGTAAAAGAGGGTCCTGCTGCCACGTCCATGGATGGAGTGGACCTGAGACCCAAATGCCGTCCTGCCAGCGAGGCCCTGGTGTGAGGGACGGCTGCTGGAGGTGTGTCGATGACGGACTCCCATCCTCAGAAACTTCCCTGCCCGTCCTTAATTGTTTTGGGTTGTTTTTTTTTTTTTTGTCTGATTGAAATTTCCATCTGGAAATCAATCAAAGGTCTGATTCACTTGGGAGCGAATCGCCGCTTGGGAACGTCAAGGTGGTAAACATGCAATTAATTAAATGCAGTAGTTGGAAGGTGGCTGTGAGAAAGCGTTTCCCAGATACTGCTCTGCCGATGGTGCCAGTTTGTTTTTTAAATTAATGAGAGCATATATCATGCCGTCTCTGGCCTGTGGCTGCTGGCAGCCGGGCAGGCTGATGGACGGGGATGCCAGCTCAATGCATAATCTGTTTTCTAAAAGCAAATCGGAATATTAAAAATTCATTCCTCCCCTTGGCTTGTGCCTGCTCTTGGCATTTTAAATAATGAGGTGATTGACTCCATGTTTGGCCTGGGGAGGACGTTTCATTCTGCTGACTGTCGCAGCAGCATCGATCACACTTTGCTGGCATCTGTTGGTGGGTGCAGTGTCCTCCCGATGGCTCCCAGTGCCGTGGGGTGGCCCGTGGCTGCCGGGGGGTCGGCCGTGAGGCACGGTGTTGCCTGCAAATGTGTTTCAGGCCCCTCCACGCCTGCCCGCGGTGAGGATCAGCCCGATTCTCTCCTGGTCATCATATCTAAGGACAAACATGAGAAGTGTGGGAAAAACCTGGCGGAGGTGTTTCCTGGTGGAAAACCTGCTTGGGGACAGTTGTCTCAAGGTGGGCAAGGGCTGCCTGGGGACGGCAGAGCTGTCCTTGCGTGGCCCCAGCTTTCCGCTGAAGGCTTTGTTTTGTGGGTTGGTGACATTCAGTTTGGCCACGGCTGTGTGATGGGTAACCCTGACCTACCCCTGCGCACTGGGAGCTCAGCGAGAGCGGGTGTGAGCAGAGAGGAGTTTAACAGGAGCAGGTCTTCCAGGGCTGGTTGTCTCAGGGTTGGATTTGAGGTTTTTGGGGCTGCCGGTTGCATTGACGCTGAGTGAGGGTGGTCTCCCTCATAGTGCTGATGTAACCTTTTCCCTCCAGGGGCTGATGCACAATGGCCCACAGCCAGTCTCGGAAGCGATCGCGAAGCAGGAGCAAAAGCAATTCTCGGAGCAGACAGGAGAAAAAGGAGAAGAAAAGGAGGAAAAGCAGCAAGGACTCACACCAGGGCAGCAGCTCTCCTCCGAGGAAGCGGACCTCTGGGTCTCACAAACACAAGTCAAGCTCAGCAGCAGCTAAGGAAGGTAGGGGAAAGGCCCATGACCCCACATTTCCACCATGTTTCCCTGGGGCAGGTGCACAGAGAGGGCCCAGCTGGGAGGAGAGGGTCCCTGCTGTCAGATAAATCGGTGTCTGTTGCTTTGCTGTGCACTTTGTGCCCATTTTAGTGTCGTTCTGACAAGTGCAGAGCCCTACAACCCCTACGCGTGCTGGTCTGGCAGTGCAGCACTGCATACTGTGATGTGTGTGGTGTCGGCACAGAGGGGTCTTTGACCCGGTGTTTGGGGGCTTTGCTGTTCAGGCAAGAAAGAAACCAGGCTGGAAGGGGGATGACCAGCTGCCGCAGGGCCAGAGCTGCTCCACTCAACCCCTTCTTATGTATTGCAGAAAAGAAGAAGGAAGGAAAGGACAAAAAGAAGAGGAAGGCAAGTACCTCTTCCTCTCAGACATCATCTTCATCCACCAGCTCCTCCTCATCTTCGTCTTCCTCCAGCTCCTCTTCTGATGACTCCAGTGACAGTGACTCCAAAACAAAGAAGAGTCGACACAGCAAAAAAAAGCGAGTGAAACAGAAAGACAAAAAGAAGAAGAAGAAGAAGAGAATAAAGAAGAAATCAAAAAAGAAGTCAAAGGAAAGAGCTAAGGAGGAGAAAGCCAAGGAAGAAGTGATGCCTGGCCCCTCACTGGAGCAGTGGCAGAAGGAGTCACTCACCTGCTGAAGCCAGGGCACACAAATGTCCACTGGGGAAAGACGCTTGCATGTCTCCCTTCCTGGGACCCACAGGAGGTGTCTGGGGGAAGCAGGGCTGTGTAAGGGAGGAGCTCCAGGCTCTCCTCCTTCCTACCTACTGTGGCCGCCTTCGAGCCACACCAATAAGCATAAGGAGCCACATTCAGAGGTTCATTTGTGAAGTGTTTAGATGTAGGTCGTAGATGTGAGCGGGGAACAAAGGTGCCCAATGGAAGGTCGTGGTCAGCAGTAACACACTGGCAAAGCTGGTACCGGCTTTGGGACATGAAGTGGCCCTTCCTTTGCGTGGTTCATCACTGAACCCTGAGTGCTGCTGGGAGACTGGGGTGGCATGTGTGTCTGTTCACTGCAGATGTAGTGCTGTGCCCCTCGGCCAGGAGCCACCCCCACGAGCATGGTTCTGACCAACTGATGCATTCTAGTTTTGACAGATGAACAAAAATCCCGAATCCAGGCTATGAAGCCAATGACAAAGGAAGAATGGGACGCGAGGCAGAGTGTCATAAGGAGAGTCGTGGATCCCGAAACGGGGAGAACCAGGTATGAGCCCAGCGGAAGAGGGAGACGGGTTGTCCATCCCTATCCATGCTGTGTGGGTTGGAGTCCTGGAGGATGCTGGTCCGTGGCACTGCGGTGCCATGCGTGGACCCAGGTCCCCTTCAGCAGAAAAGGCCTGAGCCGCTCCCTTGCAGATTCCCTCCCATCAGACCTGGTGTAACTTACCCAGAAAATGATGTGCTTGTCACCAAATTACCTAATTGTGCTGGGGCTCCATGCAAGGGGTGCAGGGCTGCGTCCCAGCCGGGAACTGTGGGATGCAGACACCAGAGCACCCTGCTGCCCAAGGCAGAAGCTTTGTTCCTTGCGCTGTGAAGGGTTCAGCTTCTTCCCATTAAATGGGACTCTGCAACCGGGGGCAGAACAGCAACCAGAGGGATGACTGGCACCTGCTCACCCCACTGCTTCATGCACTTGCCTTTCACCTCCGAAGTGCACACACTCTCAGCCCCGGTTAGCACCCAGGTGCAAGTGAGGGGGGAGTGTGTGTGCCCCTTGGGGTTACAGGCAACAATCAAACCAAAGTTCGTTTAGCTGCCAAACAGAAATGACCCAGTTTTTAATAAACTGCATCTTCTCAGCAAGCAGAAAACATCATGCTGAAGAGAATCGGGTATGACAAGTCCAGTCTTAAAATAGAAGGCAGCCTGCGGGGCTCAGGGAGGTGTGGAACAAAGGTCGGTTCCCCGTAAGGCATATAATGAAGACAATTAAATTTCTGTTCATGTTTGGACGTTTGAGCCGTTTCCGACACTGCTTGGAATTTGCTCAGCAAGGTGCTCCCTGGTCTGGCTGCCGTTCAGGCCCAAACTGGCCCCTGTTTCTGAATGGCTCTGCAGTTTCCTGGGGCAGCCAGGACCAAACTCTGTGTGAAAAAGGAGGAGGTTTTGCAGGTGTTGGGGCCGTTGCTGTTGACAGCGAAGCCTCTGCAGACGGTGGGGTGGCAAGAGATGCTTTTATCGCAAGTGTTTTCTCCTACCCTGTGCAAGCGTGACTAGCTCTGCACACCGCAGACAGTGCCCACAGCCTGGGACAGACAGCTGGCCCATGCGGGGGGATGCTGATGTCTCAGGGCACCACACCTGTCCTTGCTGCAGCGTGGTGACGTTAATCCCACAAGAGCAATGGAAAAGCCTGCCGTGCTATTTAAGCTTGATAAAGCCAGAAAAAGTCACATAATGCAACTTCAGGGGTAGGTCGTTGCTGGCCTTGCCTAGCGGTGCATCAGGCCAGCACCTGCTCCCAGGCACGTACTGCTGTGAGGGAGCTGGTGGCTGCGTGCCTGAACTGGGGCACAACCACAGCCCTCGGGGAGGCGGGAGGGGGCCAGCACCTTTTTTGGCTAGGAATCAGCATTGCTGGTAGGAACTTGCCAGTAACCCTCACGACTCATGGTCCTGTGCTTATCTTCTAGGCTTATTAAGGGAGATGGAGAAGTACTAGAAGAAATCGTCAGCAAGGAGAGACACAAGGAGATTAACAAGGTAGTGGGGACTTAGCACCAGCATGAGCTGCTGGTGGGTGGGTGCAGGTGTGGAGCTGCTGCACCCAGAGGCGTTGTCTTGCCTCCCTGGGGACCTGACTCTACCAGGGCAAGCCGAGCCCTGGCACAGCTCCACAGGGGCCCCTGTGGGTGGGTTCTGGTGGTCCTTCATCTGTGGGCAGTGCTGTGAGTGCCCGTGTCTCTCCCTTTGCAGCAAGCCACCCGGGGGGACGGGCTGGCCTTTCAGGCGAGGACGGGGATGCTGCAGTGAGCATGCGGGCACCAGCCGTGCTGGGAGCCTGTCCTGCTGCCGCTGCCAGCCCAGGTGTGAGCCTCTGTCTCTGGACCATGCAGACAGCACCGCATCAGGATGCTTCCCCAGAGGCAGTTTCCAGCTGCTCTGTAAGTTATTGACTGGGAAGGAGAGCGACTTCAATGGTTCATCTGCCAGTAAACAGCTTCTCCCCTCCCTCTCCTGCCTGGGGCCAGCATGGCCGTAATGCACTTGGACCTGCTTGCCCCGTTACCCCTTTCAAGGCCGGAGGAGCTCAGCACGACCCAGGGGACAGGCGCGCTGGTGCTGAGCACCTGGAGGCGCTGCTGTCCCTCAGCTCTGGGGTTTCATGGCCGGGAGCCAACACTGCAGCCAGGACAGGGTATGCGCTGGGGCTGCAAAATACACAGCTGGCTGCCGCTTCTTCCCTTCGGGGGCTGCTCTTGGCCCCTTCCTTGCTGGATCTGCGTGCCTCGTGCTTACCTGGTGCTGCAGGCTCGTGGGCCCTTCCCACTCACCCACCCGCTCAGAGAGGAGCAGCTGTGCCGCTGCATGGCTTCGCTCAGGCTGCAGCTCTCCCCTGCACCTTCAAATGCCCCCCTCGGCTGTGCCCCAGGGGCTTTACTCAGCCTTGGGGCAGCTTCGTCTCATCTGGTGGCACTGGGGGGAGCACAAGCCCGGCCAGCAGCACGGGGGTGCAGGCACGTGTGCTTTGCAGAGGGGTGGCTTTACCTTGCTGCCTGTTCCTGCATGCGACTCGTGTCCCTTCCTTGCAGCGCAGGCCCCAGGCAGCGTTAGGGCTCCAGGCTTCTCGGGGCCCGTGCCCATGGCCGCTGCGAAGCAAACACTTGGCCTTTCCCCCACTGCAAAGTCCATAAATCTACAAACTGTTTAAAAAAAAAAAAAACCAAACCAAAAACCAAAAAAAAGGACAAATGGGTTAAAGGACAGATGGGTCCTGCAGGACTGATCTGTGCGGAGGGTTTCCATGTTTGTTCATCGCTGTAACCCCATTAAACTGGCGCCTGCTCACATCTTGGCGTTTGTGACTTGTCTGTTTCTAGAGTCTCCCAAAAAAAGCAGACAGAGAAGAGCCTTCCCGTTTCTTTAATCTGTGTAACTCACAATGATACTGTACACAAAGCACACCCAGGCATTGGAACGATGCACTAACAGCAAGGAGGAGAAGGAAGTTGTACAGAAGGTTTGTCACACACAAGCGAGTCATCGGCACGGTACTGTACACACAGGGGCGTACCCAGCGCGGCTGCCGGCGCCCTCGGGCATGCCCTCTGGTGGTTCCCCACACACGCGTCTGTTACCCCTAAAGCAATTTTTTATAAATAAAATATAACTAACATCGTTGGAATATAAAATTGACAGTCGAGGGTATCAACAGGCAGAGGGTGCTGAGGACAGGGAGGGGACCGTAAGGCTTCTAGAACTAATAGGAAATGCAGCAAACGGTGGCGATACCTGAAGAAGGGGCTGCTACAGCAAGCACGGCGGCTGCTGGGCGGAGCGGGAGTTTGTTAGTAACCCTTTGGCTAGTTACTGCTCTCGGCTCGCGTGTCGGACACTGTAAACGTTTTTGGTATTAGAATTTCGCCTCATCTGCCTAAATGATCTAGCAAACCCAGGAAAACAACTCGGAGGGAATGCATGGGCTCCTCTGTTTTTTAAACTTTAAAGGGACAGCGTCAGGTAGAAAGTCTAGCCCAATAGCGCAGTAATACAAAAAGCTGCTTTTTATAAAAAATCTGAGCTCCACAGCAGAATTTGATTCCCATGGAAACAATTTAAAAAAACAGACCAAACCAAAAAAAAAACCCAAAAACCCACAACGACTTGAGGCAGCCTGCGCAGCGCGGGCCGTATTGTGCTAGTGTGTGAGAAGAGGACGTGGGCTGCAGCAGAAGCAGCGCGACTCGCCCGTCGCACCGATGGCTGCCCAGACAACGGCGCTAGGGAGGAGTACAAGAAACTTCGTGTTCTTTTGTTTTGAAGCAAACAAGTTGTTTGTAATAAAGGTAAGTTAGGGCTGTAACCTGACAGTGCCCCTTTAGTAAGTATGGAATATACATTCATCTTTCCCTCACTGCATCCAAACGGATCCTCTTCCATTCACGTGGAAAGGCATCGGGTCACATGCATTGCTCTCCAAAACAGCTCGGAACAAACAGGTTATAAACACAGAGTTAAACTATTGCTATTGTTCTTTGAGTGAGTAGCACGTTGATCTTTGCTTCAGATAGATGAGTGCCAGATGGGGGCGGCTGAGGATCGATTGATGTAGACTATGACGGACTGAATCGGTGGAGAAAAACTTATTGGCATATTTCCTGGTAACTACACCCACCTCATCTGGTATTATTGCAGCAATAAAGGTCCTGCTCTCCAATTGCTTCTCCGCGTTGGATCCGTACAATGGCAACAGATGGGGGGCCAGGGAAAGGACCCGGGCAAGTTTCAAGAAGCTCAACAAAGGATGAGGACGGAGGTGCTGTGATTGTCAGTCTAACTGGTTAGTAGCTGATTAAAACATGGAGTGATGGAGAGGTGAGTATAATATTGCACTTCTGCATTCATTGACAGTTACATTAAACTTGGTCCATAAAATAATTGCTTTGTACATAATGCCTGAAACAAAAAAGCTACATTTTTAAATATTAATAAACCCTGAAGGTTCCAGTCCCTCCAGACATTTTTTTTCCTCTACATAAATAAATAACTTTCAATTTTATATATCCACTTCTTATGTTGAACATTTACATTCGCCTCTGTTTTACACTATCTACACATAAGAAAATGTGAACATCTCGTCAGCATTGGAAAATGTACAGATTACGCCTTGGTTGTGGGCTTGGAGGAAAGTTGAATTTTGCAAAGGCCATATCCAAATTTGCAGAAATTATTTTGTGATGTGGTTTGGTGACTTCGCAGGATGGATTGTGGCTTGGCTTCCTACTCGGATGGCATCTGTTTGACAGAACATTCGACTAGCAAAAAGCTGGGACAATTCACATTGGTTTTAAACCCAGTCAGCTCTGGATGTACATTCAGAGAGAGCTAAGCTGAGTCGGCAGAAAGGGAAGTCAGTTTTCGGTAACAAAAGTCATCAGATACATTCTGGAATTGAGTAATTATCAAAGAGAAGTGGTTAAACCTTTTGCAGTCAGGCTGCAAGACGTGGGAGATGCACTGGGCGGCAGGCGGGCAGTTGAGTTTGAGCTCTCCCCCGGCTCAGACGCCATCGGCAGCTCAGCACTGTCCCTCCTCTGCCTCCGCTTCGACCCTCCAGCGCCACGAACACATGAGATCTACCTTGGATGTCTGATGAGTTAGATTTGCCTACCGTGGCCCAGAGCCAATTAGCAGAGCAGTGTTCACAGTGCTGTGTGTCTCAGTGCGGCCGTCCTGCACTTCATATTCAAACAGTTAATAAAATGAAGCAGCCAGTCTAAAAAATTCTTTGTTATAAAGAAGATCCTCATAAGTAGAAAGTGATATAAAGACGGTAAGGTGTGGTGGGGGAAAGCAGGGTTACACATAGTCGGGGAGCTCGGTAGGACTATAAAATCTCCACGTGAAGAGGCCAACTGGAGTCTGTAAATGGGCACCCCAGAGCCCCCGGGGTGGATGCCCCTCCGCCCCGGGAGGTGTGTGCAAGGAGGGAACCGGGCCCTGCGCCGGGGCTGACCCGGGAGGGACAGGACTAAGGGGCTTTTTGGCAAGCCCTCGCTCTAGGCACTGTTCTCCTCCGCTGCTGCGGAGCGATGCACCCCTGTTCCTGTACCACGCACCGCACGCATCTCGGTGTCAGCGGGGATGCCAGCCAGCAGCGAGCGCTTCGCCCTGCGCGCCGGCAGCTCCCCTCTGCCACGCACCCAGCCCCGGCTCGCTCCAGCAGCGCACAAACCATCAGCTCAGGCACATCCACTGAGAAACACACCAGGAAAATTAAGATATGGCCTTTTCTTAAGCTTGCCTGACATTGTTGGCACACTTCCTTACAATCTCCTTACTGCTGGAAAAACTTCTGCACAGAATTTTTTTTTTTTTTAAATATATACATATACATATATATATGTGTGTGTGCATATGTATATGCATATATGTATATATATACACACACACACCCTGGCTTAGCAATATTTCATTGTCATGCACTACAAACAGTTAGGTGTAGCTACATGAGATGGTAACAGGTTTCCATTCTAAAAATCATCAGTGCAAAAAACAATGAGGTTTTACAGTTCAGTAACTACAGGTAAAAGAAGCGAGTCTAGTTCCCATGAAAGCTGCTACTGAACTTGGAGAGAACCTGGGAAGAAGAAGAAAACGTCTCAGAGGTGGGTGTTGAGAGAGTCAGACCCTGCATTTGGATGAGAAGAACTGCAATGCGATCTATCTGCTGAGTGCTTTCAGCTGCTTCCAAATATATGGTGGTTACTTTTGGAAATAATACAGAGCGAGAGTATTTGGAGACTTTAACAGCAAATTAAGTGTCTGAGGTTTGTAACAGCTCAAACAAAATAGCTTGTATTCCTCTTTTAATAGGTCAACACATTAAATTCCATCGGCTTCTAAAAGGTCTCTTTAAAAAAATAACAGTAATAACAATAACGACCCCACTTTCTTGGGCATGAATCTGCCGACATTCTGCCTCTACCAACAGCATCGATACATCTTTATGCTCTGCCACTGCACGTACTCCTTGAGAAAGTGGCTGAACTTGAAGCTCTTTGTACAGGTAAAGCTCTCGGTTGCTCTGCCTGGCACAGCCCACGACAAATCCCTCGCTCGGGGCCATCTGTGCCAGGGAAACAGCGTGCTTAGTGAACCCCAAACCCACCCCGTGCCGGCACCGGCAGAGCACCTCCGTCTGACTCCTGGGACAACCAAGAACAAGTTCCCCCAGCCTCATCCCCTGTCCTGTGGCTCTGAGGACAGCTCTCGGTCACGCGTATCGGAGCGATGGCTAACAAGGCGAGGAG